CCCCAAAACCCCAAAACCCCAAAACCCCGCATGGAATGATTAAAGATTTTCTGTATTTTATTTTAAAATAGTAAAGAATCTTTTAATATTCACGTCACTAATTTTATGATTCTTGTCATCACCATCTGGAGTATACTTGCTCTACATGGCCAAATACATTATCAATCTCAATTCTATCTCCATCTAAATCACAAAAGCCTTTAAATGGTCCATAGGTAAACACTTAATTCATGGCAATAACAGCAGCATTCACGCCTTAGCTAAGCTAGCCTTGAGGTTCAAAAGAGAATTCACAAGATCTGTTTTTGTATATCTTCTTGTAGTCATTAGACTAAACTGCAGTCCTAATCGTTTTTCTTCCCATATAATTATCCTTGTAGTAATCCATCTCAGTAACATCGAGTTTGTAATGCTTGCCGTCTACAATAATGAAATCTTCGTTGGCTTTGTCTAGTGTCTTGAATTCTGAGCTGGCTCCATCGCAAAGATTAATGTAAATGGTTCTCCCGTCCTTGAGCTTTGCCATGATTAGAACCCAGAAATAAGCCATTCCATAGTTCAAATGTCCTCTCCCAATATCTATCATCATGAAGCAATCCCCTCCTTTGCATTGCTGTCTTTGGTTATTATAAGAGTATGAACCAACAACTGATACTGGCTTCTTTTAGGTGGCATAGTAAGTTCTCAAATCATTAGTTAGTGGTGTTGCCCAAACTTGCCCAGGATTTTCAGAGTAGTCAAAAGTTAAATCCATCTCGAAATTAGCTGCTTTTGAGTTTACCTTAAACTAGTACATCGAACCTTCCTTTCTTATCACACTGCCAGACCATTGATCAGCAACTAACTCAGTCTTTTCACCAATGCTTACAGTCTCTTTATTGTATGTCGGGCAAGTCATTGTTTCAATGATTTTTTAGGTTCCCTTGATATCCTACCTCTCCATCACCACAAGATTTGAAGGGCATGCGATTCCTAGGTTGAGATCAACGAATATCACCTGAATCACATGAGTTGGAGTGTGAATGAGAAAATAATTCCAGCTTCTGAACTTTAAATTGTTAAGTTACTTCACAGCTAGAGAGAGTGGAGCTGCATACTAATAGTTTACTAGCAGTTGTTAATCAAGATTGAGTCCCCATCCATTGACCTGAATAGTGCCTTTGTTCTCATCAATGAGTTTTAGCTGAGTCTACTTGCTATCAACCTAAATCTGAGTTTATCTGATACCTAACTAGGTGGGCTTATAATGGTTATATCTCTGCATATAGTAATCAAATGAGATTAAGAGGATTGGAATCAGTATTCCAACATATAATAGCTATTTTAAGAGTCCGCTCATATTTTGCAATTGATATTTGTATATCTTATAAGGTAAAATCTACAAATCCCTTAAATTCATGAATCCTGGGGTTTTGGGGTTTTGGGGTTTTGGGG